AACTCCAATCAGGAAACATTTGCAAATATTCAAAGGAATAATACTGAGCAAATGCAGCCGAACCCCCTACCTGTGGCATAGAAGGAATGATATTGAATCTTACTCATTGTATGACTCAATTCATGTCTACTATGCAAAATATGATTCAAGACCTCATAAAGGCTCAAAACCAATTGTTGCAAATTTTAGTGAATAAAAAATGAGTGAATTGAAAATTTGCTTATGGAATGCTAACGGTGTAAACCAGCGTAGATTAGAACTCAGTCAATTTCTCACTGAATACAACATATATGTTATGCTACTGTCCGAGACACATTTAACAAATAAATACAATTTCTCCATACCTGGATACAAATTCTATGCCACAAATCACCCGGATGGTAAAGCTCATGGAGGCACAGCGGTGCTGAAATCGTCTAAAGCACAATATTCTAGAGTCAAAAGCAACAGCCTGTCTGCAAGCAACTACCATATGCTTACGAAACCGCGACCGAGACTTGAATCTATCGGCTATACAATACCATTATAAACAGGCACAATAGACTAGAGGTCACATCTCCTGGTAAACCTACTTACTGGCCTACCGATATAAAGAAGATACCAGACCTAATAGATTTCGCAATTACAAGAAACATATAGAGAAATAACATAACAGCAGAAACTCTACCTGAACTATCATCCGATCACTCCCCTATATTAATAAAAGTATATGAACAGACCCAAAATATCGAAATTGAGCCTCGTCTAACTTCAAATAACACCAAGTGGCTTAAATATAAAAAGTACATCAGTAGTCACCTTAAATTAAACGCTGCACTTAACTGCGAGCGTGATATAGACTCCCTTGTTGAACATTTTAATGAAACCTTTACTTCAGCCGCTGGCCTGGCAACACCAAATCAAGTCCAAGTACCACCTACGCATACATCAGTTACAAATACCGAAATAGAAAAACTTGTGGCAGAAAATCGGCGCCTAAGAAGACAGTGGCAGAGCCATCGCTCACCAACCTCACAGCTACTGTATAAAGCTGCCAGTAGAAAACTGAAACAAGCACTCAAACGTGCAGAGGATCGCAACTTGCAAAGGTACATTAAGAAGCTTTCCCCGAATTCTACTGAAACCCTGCAGGGAAAGCTACTAGTTGTGAACTAGAATTCTACCGGTTTGCGTTTCAGCCGAACTGGTTCACGTTCTATCCTTTTTCAATGTTAGAGACTGGTATTTTTAACATTGCGATGTCCTACGAGATGTCAATTGTCAGGCTATGCATCAGCATCTACTAGTATAAATACTAGTAGCATCATATCAGTTGATGAGATGGTCTGCCAATTCATGCCCCGTGAAAAGCATAAGTGTGCCTTTTTGCTCGCGACGCTCCAGCAGTCACAATGGCCGACAGAGCAAAGTACTCGCGTGGTAAGCCTGAGGTCCCAGGTTCAAATCCTGGCGCAGGGAAAGTTTTTTTTATTTTCTATTTTTTATTTTATTTTTATTTTTTATAAATTTATTTTTTTGTTTAGGCTGTTTATTGTAATTTTTAAATTTAATAAAAAAAAATATTTTTGTTTAATTTCTTTGTTTTTATAGCACAAGCATTTCTTCCTAAATGTTTTTTTGCAATGCAATTAGATTATCAAATTTGTTATTTATTTATAAATTGAATAAATTATTTTTACTTACATTTATTTAACTTTAAAAATCTTAACCACCTCCAAGCGGCCTCGAACCTGCAATTTCAGAACCAGAACCAGTAGTCTTCACGTGACGCCACAGCCGACATTTGTAAGAAAAGCAATTATAATTGCGTTTTATTTTTGGCTTTGGCAATTCAAAGGCAGATGTCGCTGATCGCCTAAGTTCTTCGAAATTGTCGAACTGGTAGGCACATACTACTTAATGAACTAGTATTTTTTCTAACTGGTTTGGCTTTTCACTGCAGGGAAGATACTCTCTATGGAAATCGCTAAAATACTTCAAACCACCAGTGGCTACAGAAATGCCAATTAGGAACCAATGTGGAACCTGGGCTCGTAGTGAGCAGGAGAGAGCCGAGTGTTTTTCACACCATTTAAAGAATGTGTTTCAGCCAAACTGTCCAACGAACAACTTCAGGCTGCCACGGCTAATCAAAAATACAAATGAGCTATACACACCTAGCAAGACGAACTCTTTAGAAGTAAAAGCTATAGTAAAGCAGCTTAATCCAAAGAAATCGCCGGGTGCTGATTTTATAACTCCGAAAATGCTAATAGAGCTACCGAATGTTGCACTAGCAATTCTTTCTGACCTTTTCAACGCTATCCTCAAATTCGGTTACTTTCCGAAATCATGGAAAAGGTCGAAGATAATCATGATAGCCAAACCTGGAAAAGACGCAACACCACAGTATACCAGTATAATAGGTTTTTGTTTTTGTAGCTGTTTCGTGGTGAAAGTCCTTTATGGGGACCAAATTTTCCCACAAGAAATTGGACGCATGGTTGCTTTTGCGTCCCAAAAGAATGAATATAGAAAACATTAAAAAAAGTCTAAGTTAATACAATTATATTCAACTAAAAATAATCACAATAATTTGCACTTATGAGTTAATGTGATAATCATGTGTAAAAACTCTTTTCAACTATTATTTTTCACTAAACAATTTTGCGGATCAGATTGCTCGGAGCTTGTGTTGTTTACCAAGAAAATACAGCCCTGTTGGTTTTTATTTCTGTATCGCATCGCGGTGAGTTTCTATTTCTTGGTAATTCGGTTGTGAAATGGTAAACAAATTATTGAAATTTATTTATTTGATGTGTATAACATTTCATTAATGCAATTTTCTGTATTTTCAGACTATTAATTACAAGCACAGCATCATCAACGGTGATTGCAAGAACTACTGCAATCCCTGCGGTTTTTCCTCTTGGTAAATGCGTTCTGGTCGTGACCAAGGGTGGTCTCCCAAATCGGCCGGGAATAAGGTTAGTCATTTTAAATTTTATATCTTTGTTCGTCGACATTATATGACATGTCATCATTGCAGGCTATTGTTGCAGAACAAAACGCCGCAACCACTGCTGGGGTAAATATGTTCCAGCAGAACTGCCCCCCGCCGTCGGTGTAATGATTTCGATAGCTGAACAAACGCCATCTCCTGGGCATTCCCACAGCTTGCCGACACTAGCTATTATAGCACGTGTGAATGCAACTGCGGCTAAATTTGGTTATTAACAGTGCAATAGTACCATGTCATTGGCAAAAACACTAAGGGCTGCTGGCACATAGAGGTTGTAAAGTTTGTGGTATCGATGATCTTACTCGAAGAAGACGATGGCCGAAAACATATGATGAAACATCTTCTGGCAAGCCTTTGAAAATCGTTAAGTCAGACGGAGTCTTCACATACGATATTTAACACATGGCTGGAATTCGTTAGCGGACAGAGCACACATTTACAAAATATTTATCGTTCTACAGAACGTTCATGCATATTCGATTCCGATTTTATGGGTTGATTACGGAGGACAACCGAACTTCAGTTGGTTGGCCAGTGGCTGAAATGGTATTACCGATGGCAACTAGCAACTGAAAGCTGGCAACTAAGTTGCTATATTGGCAACTGCATTCTTGTGGCTGCCGCGAAATTTTTATTGAGATACTTTATTTCTTTTTTCAACTTTTTTTTTTTTTAATTGTACCACCTTGAATTTTATGAAACTTAATTAT